ATATTAAATGTTGCAGTATAATTATTATTACAGAGTAGTAGTTATACGAAGAATAATTCAATAAAGTCAAGGTAATTAATGGCGAATTCACTTTACTAACAGAGTTAATAAAGCATTAATCTACTAACCACTCACTGAATGACGTGATCCTTGTTTTTAAAAATTGTAAAATGAATTAGATATTCTATAAGTTCCGTAGATATGCTAGTACTTTCGATAATTCTTATCATCATCCTCATCATCATCAGGCATGGATATTATTTTTCCTTTTCAGGTAAATTCAGGTGACTACTGAGACGAAAATATACGTAATACATTACAACAGTTACAAAATTTTGAAGCGTGCAGTGTCCCAACGCTAGAGTTTTATTTTGAAATAAAGTAATATCGCAATTCCACGATTCTTTTTTGTTGTAAGTGTTTATGACCAAATTGTCCAATAATTAGAGCACTGTCCCAGAAGTTTTCCCGAAATCTTTTACTGCAGGTCAGTCCTTTTAAATCTATTAAATGGTGAAGTATAATTAATATTACAAAGAAGTCGTCATATAAATCTGTATTTAGTATGTTAATGCTTTATTAAATCTGTTAGCGAAGTAAATTCGCCACTTAATTACATTAACTTGTTTATAACTGATTTATTCTTTGTATGACTAATTCTTTGTAATATATATATATATATATATATATATATTATTATTATTATTATTATTATTATTAATAGAAATCTTATAAGTATAAGAAATTATACTCGCCCGGAAAACCGTCGGTGTGTTGATTTGCAATTAAACAAGCCAATACCAAAGGGGAAAAAAAGGTGTAAAAAAAAAGAGAAAGAAACAAGAACATGTCCGTTAACCGGAAATAATCGTCCAGCATACGAGTTCAAGGCCCAGAGAATAATAGTCCGATGCGAGTATATTCCGTTCCCTTTTTTTACCTTGTTAGCCGGCCTTCCCTGACGATCCGCTCAGGTGAAACCTTAGTAGGTTTGTCTGGCTCTCTAGGTTTATATATATATATATATATATATATTTATGTATTTATGTATATATATATGTGTGTGTGTGTGTGTGTGTGTGTGTGTGTGTGTGTGTCTGATTAAATAAATTACAAATATTCTGTCTGCTTATTTTTAGGATAATCTGTTCAAATTCACGGATATTTTTTCCGTGTATTACAATCAAATGGTGCAAGAAATGCACTGTAAGAGTGAAAATCACTTCTATTTCCAGGTACTTTCTATCTCTTTCTGAGATCATCATCAGGGATGCAAGTGGTATTGCAAAAACTATGTGTAGCTATCCATTACTGATTTTTTTTTCTTTAATGCGATCTTGACCATGCCATTCCGACATAAATAAAACAATTCCGTAGTGGGTCATTTTTTTCACGTTCTACTGAACGCTAAGGCATAAATGTCAGGCGTTGCATTTAAACACAAAAAGAAAAAAAAATATCAATAATGGATAGCTACACATAGTGTTTGCCTTACCATTTGCGACTCTGATGATGATCTCAGAAAGTCAAATTCAAGAACAAACAACGCGCGAAATTAAAAAATATATAAAATGGCGACAATTCACCGCACCCTGTATAAATATCCAAGATGGCTGCTAATGAGAAATATTGTCTGATACGTCATAGGAAACGAATTTTCTAGGAGAACTAGCAGTTGGTTCAATATAATCACTTCATTTTAATATCTATGTAAAACATGAGCCCAAGTAGGCGCAAAGACTTGATCTCCGATAGGTCATGATCGGCTATTTTGATAAAAGATGTAAAATATTATCTGTGATGGTTAAATGAGAACAGGTTTGTTTTAGAGGCGTTAAAATGTAGAAGCCATTCTTTGGCCTACTTAACCACTGATTGCAGATGAATCACTCTGCCTGCCTTAAAAATCAGCATTCGAAACTACCTTAGATCGAACCACAGCTACTGCCGATAATAGGAAATTCACAATTATGACAGACGGTAGATTATACTCGAATATTTTTCGTCAGTAGTCTCTCTATATAATTAATACATTCACAATTTTACTATAACTGCCTAATTGCTTGGTTTTCAGATTTGTTTCGATGATAATGCTTGGGAATAAATACGTTTAATGGTGCCAGATGAGTGAAACTCCTTACTAAAGAAAACAAAACTATTACCCCCACACACACACACATTTGATAGATCTATCGTATTATCTTTGTTTTCAAACTCCAATACCGTTTGTGGCTAATATATGTTTAAAAATCATTTTCTTTTTCCTTTTAGTCGCCTGCAACGCCATCTGGGGAAAAAATAATATAAGATTCAATTATTTTATATACACGCAAATACTTACACACGCGACACATCTGTTTGTTATGCATGTGATGAAGCCATTAGAGGCGAAATGCATTATCGGATATTATTTTCAAAATACAGGGTGTCCATAAAGTTCGTGTGCACTTTAAAAAATATAACTTTATTTATATTTGGGATAGAAATAATTTGTAAAAATGATTAGAAAGAATTAAATCTATATTTTTAAGGTTTTATTGAAATCTTATTTAAATTTCCACACGTCCTCCATCATTAGCAATACAAAGTTTAAAACGATTTTGCAGTTCACGGAAAACATTTGCCAACTGATTTACAGTAATGCCTGAAATCATATCAGTTATTTAAGCTATACTTAAAACTAGGTACATTAAACTTTATAACATTTTTTACACATTGTTTCTGTCGCAAATACAAATAAAGTTATAAATTTTTTAAAGTGCACACGAACTTGGACACCCCGAATATTTTCATGGACTTTTTTTTCTATATGTCAATAACATATAACTCTGTCAGGATTACATACCAACATTTATTATTCACACACACACACGCACACACACACACACATACACGCATATATATATATATATATATATATATATATATATATATATATATATATGTGTGTGTGTGTGTGTGTGTGTGTGGGTGTGGTTGTGGGTGTGTGTGTGTGTGTGTGTAAATGTCTGAGAGTGCCTTAATCGCAAGCTCATCTACAGTAAATTTGTCCCTGACTCTTACAACATTTTACCATTCCTGGTAGATCTTCTGATATCAAATACCGACTTACAAAAATGAAGGAAAGTAAACAAAAAAGTACCTAAATGAATTTGGCGGGATAAAATAAAAAAAAATCCCCCAGCACCCGTTATTCGTGCGCATGTGCAGTCGTACCAACATCACAAATTTAGTCCGATGATGTCCTGTTGAACGAAACGCGACACAAGTAAACTTTTTCCAATTTGTCATACAATTTCCCCAGTACCGTTTTTGATATATAAAATATAAATATTGTTATCTCATATACATACATATATTAGGTTGGTGCAAACATAATGACGTAAGAATGTCGTTTTTGACGTTAAAAATGCGTCAAAAACGACATTATTTTTGTCAACCTATTTTTATATATATATATATATATATATATATATATATATATATATATATATATATAAATATGAAGAATTATAGTTTTAAGGTGTGCTATACTTATGGGATAATATGCTCAATATCAGAGATAGAGCGTATGTAAATATAAATATAAAAGTGAACATTGAAGTCAACACTCAGAGGTGACAGGCTGTTTTCTGCTAGGCGCAATCGTCAGGCCGTCTAACGACTGCGTCCATACATACATACATACACACACACACACACACACACACACACACACATATATATATATATATATATATATATATATATATATATATATTCCCAGTTCTACAATATCTGCTTGTTGCTTGGTTTGAAAGAAGGATTGAAAGAAAAGCGAGAAAGAAAGTACAGTAAAGAAAAAAAAAATAAAGAATAAAAGAAAGAAAGAAAGAAAGAAAAGAGGAACAGGAAAGAAAGAAGCAAAGAATGAACAGAAAAGAAAAAAAAAGAAGGAATAGAAGAGAAAGAAGCAAAGAATGAACAGAAAAGAAAGAAAGAAAAAAGAAATAAAGAATAGAAAAGAAAGAAAGAAATAACAGAAAATAGATAAAGAAAGGACAGAAAAGAAAAAAGAAATCGTCAGGCCGATTGACGAATGACGATTGCGCCTAGCATGAAACAGCCTGTCGCCTCTGAGTGTTGACTTCAATGTTCACTTTTATATATATATATATATATATATATATATATATATATATATATATATATATATATATATATATTCCCAGTTCTACAATATCTGCTTGTTGTTTGGTTTTCAGATTTGTCTCGATATTAATGGTTAGGAAGAAATATATTCACTAGTGCCAGGTTAGTGAAACTCGTTACTAAGAGAAAAAACTCACTATCTTCCCACAAAGACATCAAAATTCTAAATCTAGAAAGGAATTCTCGTACTTACATTAATCTGAATACAAGTTCCTTTAAGCGACGGCTGTTTGCCTTCCGTCACGACCCTTGCTATTGCCACGCACGGTGACGCAGCACCTCCCTAAGATAGGTTACTGATTGTGACAGGTGTGTTTCACTTTGTGCTTCCTCTTTTTAACTCTTTGCCAGGGAAACATCAATCTCTGTCTCGTTGCCCTTCCCCAACGAGTTCTATTTTCATTCACAAATCGTATTAAAAAAGCTCTTTTTTTTTTTTTAGTAGGTTG